TCCCCTCCTCACACTACTCCTCAGGCCTATCTGCTGGGTGCAGGCCGTTTCCCCTCCTCACACTGCTCCCCCCTCCTCACACTGCTCGCCCCTCCTCACGCTGCTCCTCAGGCCTCTCTGCCGGGTCCAGGCCGTTTCCCCTCCTCACGCTGCTCCTCAGGCCTATCTGCTGGGTCCAGGCCGTTTCCCCTCCTCACACTGCTCCCCCCTCCTCACACTGCTCGCCCCTCCTCACGCTGCTCCTCAGGCCTCTCTGCCGGGTCCAGGCCGTTTCCCCTCCTCACGCTGCTCCCCCCTCCTCACACTGCTCCCCGGGCCTCTCTGCCGGGTCCAAGCCATTTCCCCTCCTCACACTACTCCTCAGGCCTATCTGCTGGGTGCAGGCCGTTTCCCCTCCTCACACTGCTCCCCCCTCCTCACACTGCTCGCCCCTCCTCACGCTGCTCCTCAGGCCTCTCTGCCGGGTCCAGGCCGTTTCCCCTCCTCACGCTGCTCCCCTCTCCTCACACTGCTCCCTCCTCCTCACACTGCTCCTCGGGCCTCTCTGCTGGGTCCAGGCCGTTTCCCCTCCTCACGCTGCTCCTCGGGCCTCTCTGCCGGGTCCAGGCCGTTTCCCCTCCTCACGCTGCTCCCCCCTCCTCACACTGCTCCCTCCTCCTCACACTGCTCCTCGGGCCTCTCTGCTGGGTCCAGGCCATTTCCCCTCCTCACGCTGCTCCTCGGGCCTCTCTGCCGGGTCCAGGCCGTTTCCCCTCCTCACACTGCTCCCCCCTCTCACGCTGCTCCCTCCTCCTCACACTGCTCCTCGGGCCTCTCTGCTGGGTCCAGGCCATTTCCCCTCCTCACACTACTCCTCAGGCCTATCTGCTGGGTCCAGGCCGTTTTCCCTCCTCACACTGCTCCCCCCTCCTCACACTGCTCCCCCCTCCTCACACTGCTCCCCCCTCCTCACACTGCTCCTCGGGCCTCTCTGCCGGGTCCAGGCTGTTTCCCCTCCTCACGCTGCTCCTTGGGCCTCTCTGCCGGGTCCAGGCCGTTTCCCCTCCTCACGCTGCTCCCCCCTCCTCACACTGCTCCTCGGGCCTCTCTGCCGGGTCCAGGCTGTTTCCTGTCCTCACACTGCTCCTCTGGCCTCTCTGCTGGGTCCAGGCTGTTTCCCCTCCTCACCCTGCTCAGGCCTCTCTGCTGGGTCCAGGCCGTTTCCCCCTCCTCACACGGCTCCTCTGAGACAGGCGCCTTTTGGGTTGGCCACTCCCCTCTCGCTGCTGACATCCCCCATCCTCAAGATGCTCTCATTTGCTGAAAATATTAGTGCCTGCCCCATCTTCCCCTCTTTCCAAGTCAGGTCATTCTTACCAGGAATGGACCCTCCCCGCAGGGAATCTGCCCATTGCCCTGGGCTCTTCGTTCTCTGAGCATGTCTTCAGTGAACTTCTCTACCCCACCTGAGCCAACCACTTTCAGTCACACCATGGGCCTCTTCCCGTAAGTTATAAGCACCTCATTACCAGATGCTCTTCCCGTAAGTTATAAGCACCAGGATCTGCCTGCAAGCCCCTGTTCTTCAAGCAGAGAAACCCAACACTGACTGCAACACAAAAGCCAGTCATCAAGTCTCAGATCCATTGGACCCATCACTGTATTTGTATTTATGCATTTCATCCTGTGTCGTGTGCTCACCAACCTTGGATTCCATGGTTTCTCGTATTATTTCACCCTCTCCCTCGACTACCTTGTCCCACTCTCTCCATCATACTTTCCTAGAAAATCCACGACTCGGGATAAACCACCGCACATTCATAATCACCAGCCCCATACTGACTCTGCACAGCCAGTGATCCTCAGCGCTTCCCCAGCAGGCTTGCTTCTCTGCAGGTTTGCTCCGCCACCCCCAAGGCACCTCTGCCTTCCCCTGATACCCTGCTTCTCACTTCCTGAGAAATGCAGGCTACGGCGAGAGCGCCCTCCTGGCCCCTGGCTGCCCAGCACCTTCCCCTGCAGGCCAGTCCTGCTCCTCCCTGCTCTCTATCAAGGACCTTGTTCCTTTCCTGAGTGCCTTTCCCTCTGGTATCTTTGGTCTCTTCTGTTGGATCATTCCAGAAGCATGGAAGCATGCTTTAATCCCTTCCAGCTAAAACTCAGGCAATGCCCACCTGTGACCACACTCTGCTAGCTGCCATCCCCTTTCTCTCCCCTGTTGCGATGTGGTATATGAACTGTCTTCTGGTGCTTTGACATCTGAGGCCTTGCTGACCCTGGAGGGACTGCCCCTTCCAGGATTAGCCAATTCCTAGAGACATTAACTCACCCCAAAATGCCCTTTTAAATACAAACCCACCCAATCCAGAGCCCACATCCCACAACCTCCTGCGAGGGTCTTAGAGTTCTGCCCTAATCACCCAGGGCCAGGCAGTAGACACCTAGGGTACCAGTGCCCCAGAGCCCGCTACCACTATTGAAGCTAGACAATCCTGAGCCCACTCACCCTGCTTCGCCCATTCCTTCCTAGGGAGACCACAGTGAAGACCCCCACCCACACCTCCCGGGTCCTCTGTCTCCCGGCCGACTCCGGTGCTTCCCCAAGTGGCCCCGTGGTGTGGCCTGGTGTGCTGCTTCCTCTCAGGAACTGTAACAAACTGTCTTTCAGTGACAATTGCCTTCTGATGTGTGGGCCTTGCTATGCCTCAGATACCCTGTTAATACACTGTAGTTTAAAGCACTTGGTGTCTGAAGTGTTGTCTGCATAACAGTCCCCAGTGGCTCTGTCCCCACTCAGTGAGCTCCCCACTGGCCACTGCTCCCATCACACCACTGAAGGTGCTCTCCCAAAGGTACCAACGACCTCCAAATTAAATAATGCCAAATATCATAGGCATTTTTCTGACCAGTCATTCGTTCTGTCCATAAACATTAAGTCTCTCTTTTGTGGTAGGCATTCAGGCTCCAACAGCAAACAGGACTGATGGGGGCTCCACTGCCAAGGGGCTTCCACACTAGTGAGGCAGACACACAAGGAGCCAGTGAAACGAAGCGCAGTGAAAGGCTTTATTTAGGTCAAGGAGCTGCCGCTGCGAAGGCCCACAACCATGATAGGATGAAGGGGCCTCAGGTGTGAAGGGATACTTCCTGTTGCCATTTGACGATTAAGGCCCCAAACTGAGGACACACAGGAGCTAAGCACCCTACCCTGTCACGCAGCGCTGGTTACCTCCAGCACAGCTGAACAAGAGGCGGCACAGCTGGCTCTAGCAGCACACCAGGATGGCGGCAGGAAGGAGATGAAAGGGAAGGTTGAAGACCAGTCACTGGCCTTCTGAGGAGTGCCTGGAAGTGCTAAGAGGCGTTTCCTCCGCCTCCTTATGTGAGTGGAAAGGGCGTGCTTCTCCCTCAAAACCAAGTGAGATAATGCTCCATAATAATCTGGCATAGAGAGGGGGCTGCCTGCAAGAAGGAGAAAGTGGCATTTCTCCTTGGAGGATGCCACCGCGCTGCAGACCCCTGCACTCAGCCTGTGCTGCCAAGGCAGTCCCCGAAGAGCTGGACAGGCACCCTGTGCGTCTGTGCAGACACGAAGAACGTGTGGTCTCCTGCCAAGAAAGGCTGGCTCCCTCCCCGCGGTAGCTGCCTCAGAAAGGCCAAGGGATTTCCCCAGGGTCCGCCCCCTGACCTTTTTTTTTTTTTTTTTTGAGACAGAGTCTCACTCTGTCGCCCAGGCTGGAGTGCAGTGGCTCCATCTCGGCTCACTGCAAGCTCCGCCTCCCGGGTTCACGCCATTCTGTTTCAGCCTCCCGAGTAGCTGGGACTACAGGCATCCGCCACCACGCCCGGCTAATTTTTTGTAATTTTTTTTTTCAGTAGAGACGAGATTTCACTGTGTTAGCCAGGATGGTCTCGATCTTCTGACCTCATGATCCACCCGCCTCGGCCTCCCAAAATGCTGGGATTACAGGCATGAGCCACCGCGCCCGGCCAGTCACCCCTTTCTTAATGGCACAGGCAGGACAAGGACTTTTTCCAGGGGTAGGGGATGAAGGCAAGCCACTGTGAATGCAGACAATTTCTCCACCAAGGCTGAGGAGCACAGGCAAAAGCAGCTGCTCGAAAGCAGTGATCAGTCTAGTATGGGAATTGCAGGGTGCTGCCCACCTCTCTCGACTGATAAACCAAGGCATCATGCAATTCTTCTTCAACACTAGGTTTGTAGACAGATGGCTCCTAGGCCCCTGACCACAGAGAAAAGGGTTCCATGGAAATGGGGAAAACAGCCCAAAAAGGGAGGCTGGGGGCACAGGAGACTGGCTGGTTTACCTACAGCACACCATCTGCATGATGATGTAGACCCCTGAGTACCCCAGGACCAGCCCAGTCTCTCCCCAAAACCTAACAGCAGAGCCTCGGCCCTGAAATCAGCATGGTCTCGAGGTGTACAAAGCCCAGAAAGTTTGCTGTCACCTGGCCTCCCCTAACCCTTTCTCTGACCATCATTCACCCAAACTTCCACTAACAAAAGTCCTGGCGTTGCTCAGCAGGGTTCCCAAGTGCTGTTTCCTAGACTCAAGGCGCTACATGACCTCACGTGGGGAACGTGGGTGTCCTGGGACTGCGTCATGTTCACCGGAAAGGAGGCCTAAGGGAGAAAGTCCTGGGCCTCATTTTTATTTTCTACTTCCCGCTGCCTTAAAGCCTTTGAGAAGTGATGAGGGGAGGAAAGGACGAAGGGAGAGAGGGAGGCAGAGACTGGAAGCGAAGGAGAAGTGAAGGGCCGTCGATTGGCTCATTCATTGGTTCTGACCAAAAAAGAGATAAATCACTTTTTACCTATTTTACTAAACCTGTGAGGTTATCGTGAGCATCAAATGAAATAAAAATGAAAGGATTTCTTCAAGTACGGAGCACACGAATTTAGGCCCCATCTTAAAAAGAGGCGAAAGTCTCTTAAATTTAACAGAGACAGTCCTCCCGACCAAAATTATTTTTTTCTCGCTTTTTTTTAAATTTAGCTTTGCCAGAGAGCCTGCGAATGTTACAGAAGGACTGTGAGGTCAGCCAGCTGCTCCCATGGAACGCCGATGACATGCTGGGAGTGCAGTACTGCACTGCGCACAGCCTCGTGGATGAGCCGAGAGCCGGCTCTCACAGGTTGGGGTTGGCAACTTTGGCCACGTTCACCTATGCATAAGAAAGAGACTGCAAGACACTCCATGCATCTGCTTTTACAAATTAAGACCAAATATAGAAGAGACATCAAAAAGATTTTCATCATCGCCTGCTAAGAGCAGGGGAGAGCAGAGGAAAGAGCGAATGGAAACTAGAGAGGAAAGAGAATAGAGGCAGATCACTGAGGAAGAGGAAAGCTGTGTGGACACAGGGCCCGTCTGGTGCAACGGCCCATCTCACAGCTGTTAGAGAATTTCACACGGCAGAGGTTTTTTAATGTATGGGCCTATTTCTGTCTGTTTGCTGGTTTGTTCATTTGGCTGTTTTCTTCTCTTCGTTGGCATAAAGAGGAGTATCATATTTTGGCATCCGATCTCTACCTAAATCCCAAATAAAATGAGAAGGCAGCCTAGTAGGTGTTGCTAGGGAACAAGGGGAGCATTGCCTACATCCAGCATGAGAAGGGGAGGACGAGGACAAGGACAGGCCAGGGCAGGAAGTCAAGTCCCCAAACTCAACCCTGGGGGAGACAGAGTGAGATGCTGAAGCCTGACCATTCCTCCCTCTCGGGGAAAAGAAAGGCAGAGACAGAGGGGCCATCACACCCCGACTCTTGCATGAGATTTTGCTGAGGGCCAGCAGGAGTTGCTGGCTGGGGGGTCATTTAGACAAAGATGGAGTCCAACCAAAAAATTACCTTAATCGCATAATTGAAGAGCCAGCGTGAAAAGCCTACAAAGTAAAGGAGACATCTGTGTGCATTCACCAGACAAGCTACTCCCTTTTTGCCTTTGCTCCAGGGCTGCCTCCCGCCGAGGCCCTCTCTGAGCACTCTAAAATAGTGTTCTAAACCGCAGCCCTTCCCTCCTTCTGTACATCAGCAGCCCCTTTCCCTGCTCCTTTTTTTTTTTGCCTTAGGTCATTTGATGTCATTTTCTCAGTGCAATAACAACTCATTCTCTCTCCCTACCACCAGAATCAAAGCCCTCCAGGAGCAGAAGCCTTGTCTGGTCTGTTCACTCGTGCACCCCAAGTAAATTGGACAGTGACTCACACACAGTACACCTCAGTACACGTGTGTCCAATGAACGAAAGACAGCCTCTTCATCTCCCAGCCGCAAATCCTTTCAGAATCATGTTGAGTCGTGAGTTTAAAGTGGGTTGATTAGGGAGACCTAGGGCCAGGGGTGAGACAACATCAGGAAGTACTCCCTAGGTACAAAAAAAAAAAATTAGAAAATGAACTTTTTTTTAGCAAATGTTTATTTATATCAAAATACAAAACATTTCTGAAGCAGAGTAATGTTACATGAGGAGCAATTAAATACTAAACATCTTTCCATCCGTTTAACTTGCAACACTCCCGGGGTACCTTCACTGGCTGCACATCTCGTCATTTGATGTGCCTTCTTTTTTCTCGTTTGCTTATGCACTTGTTTGCTCATTTTGCTTTTTAATTCAGGATATGAACATGCAGTGTTACTGGGGATGAGTTGGTTAGTACTTAGCAAGCCTGAAAATACCAGCGAGTGGAGCCTGGCGTGGTAGCCTGAGCTGAGGCAGGCTGCAGGTTCTCTTCCTAATTGAGTCTGGGGTGTCACTCCATTTTTAACTGGCAAGTCAAAGGCCAAAGGGATCACCGTCATCAGTAGCCAGGGCAGGCATTATTGCTTAGGGCTGTGGAGCAGGCGTGGCTTTGGGGTCATCTCCAGTGGGGTCTTCTCAGTGGTTTGGGAAGAAGGGGCAGGGCAGTCTATAGGCCCAGGCCCAGGAGCAGGATGCCCAGGGGCCCTGCAGGAAGAACCCTCTTCCCCAGGAAACCAAGGAATGGTTGGGGAGAGGAAAGCTCCTCCCACTCTTGGAAATCTGTGATTTGGTGGCTGGGGGTGCCTGCCCCTAGGAAGGGCCCCTTATAAGTGCTTTCAGTTTGGAGATTTTGAGGGAAAAAAAAGCACCTGATTGAGAGTGTAGCTGTTTCCAACACACCTCCCCTCCCTGATGGAGAAGAAGGGAAGGAGGCAGGAAACGGGAGAGAGCGTCCCCCTTCATTCCTACACCGCCCCGCTCCCAGAGCCAACCGGGTCTCCCTTCAAGCTCGTACTTAGTGCATTCACTTTGGCATTGATCACCTGTGAGCTCTCTCGCTCTCACTCTCTCGCGTGCACACACACATGCACACACAGGTACACACACACATATATGCAGGTACACGCACGCACACACACGGGTACGCACACATATATATGCAGGTACGCGTGCACGCGCGCACACACACCCACACACACACACACACACCGGGTTTCCTTGCAGTCCGCTCAGGCAGAAGGGTGTCCCATCCTCACCATCACATACACACACACACACATCGGGTTTCCTTGCAGTCTGCTCAGGCAGCAGAAGGGTGTCCCATTCTCACCATCATCTTTTGCTTCCCAGGGTACCCTTGGCCCACAGGTCCCCAAGACCCAGCCCCAGGCTTGGCACGCGCTGGCATTCCCAGGCTTTTGAGAAGAGGGTGATAGAGCAGGGAGCTCCTCACAGGTTATACAGAGTGTAGAATATGTTCATATAAGGCTTTGGTACAGCACCGATTTCATGTTCTTATAGTTTGATTTCTAAGTCATCTTTTAGAAGAAAAAAAAAAAGCTTACTGAAAAAATAGTGTTTTTATTTACTTTTGAGTTACATACCTGAAGTTCAAAAAGTAAGCCTCTAGTTGCCATTCAAGTTCACACTCGAGGGTGTTCTGTGTGCAGCTGTACAATTTGTTGGTTTGTCTTTAATATTGAACAAAAGTCAGCCAACCCATACCATAAAGTCAGCTGCCCAAACTCACTTTAGCCAGTCCATACATACATACAGAAAAGAGAGAGAGAGGGAGAACACAAAAGCCGCCCCTAAGTCACCCACCCCAAACCCCAAGGGAAAAATCAGAAAGAAGACAAAATACAGCAAGATATCAGGAGCCAGTGGGAGGAGGGAGATTCAGCCCAACTGGCCTCTTCGAGAACAGCACCATGAAGCACCCTAGCGCAGTGATGTTGTAATACTCAACATTCAAGAAATGGAAACGAGGTTGGAGTTGTCTTCACAGGAAGACCTGGCATGGATCGGGGGTCACCCCCAAAGAAAGTGGAAGAAAGAAAGAGTTCGAAATGAGAGCAAGAAATCTCATGACGAAACTGACAGTCATATCCAGAAAAGAAGAACTACAGCAAGAGGCTGCCACGCACCGAGAGGTACAGAGTTTGTAAGGGATCTGGGGGAGGTAGCATCAGGAGCCCCTCCCCACCCACACTGCCTGCTCACCCCCACCCTCTGTGTGTCCACAGACCACCAGGTGAAATGGAGGAAAGAAGCTCATCTAAAACTTGCCTCCAAGTGTGCGATGGGAGAATTCTATCCCGCATGATCAAAGTCCCTCCTGGGAAGAGAAAAAACTGAAGACCAAGGGGCAGGAGTCGCTGACATGAAGCAGGATGTGGTCCCTTCACGTCAGTGGCTGCAGAAAAGCAGCAGCAACTGGTGACAGTGCCCCCTTCCGGGCCCTCTATCCCTAGCCCCACAAATGGCAGTTAGGAAATTAAATCTGAATGGGAGGTCAAGACCTTTTGACACTGATGTATACAACTTAGCAAGTGGAGCGTTAAACTGCTGTTCTCCCCTAGCCAACAATTCCCCTTTCTAACACCTCAGTCTAAAGTTCCAGAATCAAGACTATCCCATCAAGTACCTTCCTCCCGGTTCCCAGACTCTGCGACCCCACCCTCCAATGCCACAGTCAACCCCCTACGGACAGGAAGTGTGCTATGCAGGCTTGCTTCTTCCCCCGCCTCCTACTTTCAAACTGCTCAAAGTGGGTTGATAGGAACATCTACCACAAAGAGGAGTGGAAGCGCGCAGCAAAAATCCAAGACAAGGCCCCTCTTCCCCAAGCTGTTGGTTGGTGACAATGGGGAAGAGGGACAGGGCCCACACTGATCCACGGGAGGGCGGTTCTCACAGATCTCCCTATTCCCAACTCTTGCTCTGTACAGCAGACAGAGGTAGCAAGACAGAAACAACTCCTCAGATACCCCCACCTTCTACCAAAAGGGAAAAGCACCAAAATTCAATGTCCATTCTGCTGCGGGGACCAAGGAATGTGTCCCAAGCATGGGGAAGAGCTCAGGCTCCTGGCAGTGGCTGTGGGCCGTAGAGGCCCCATCAGAGCACACTCATCCACCTGTCCCACCAACTGATGCCACAAGCGGTTCCCAGGCCTCCTCCTTACTCCACATAAAGCTGATCTCAATGCCCTTTGCTCCAAGTGCCTTAAGGGCTGGCTCTTCAGAGAAGCTGGAAGTCCCCTCTGACACCCACTCTTACCTCATCTTGCTAAGCAGTGGAGCAGAAAGGTCACAGGGAGGCACTAACATCCCCTCCACACTGTACAATTTCAAGGTACATAGCCCCATCTTCCCTTTCCCTCCCCAAAACAAAGAGTCCAGTTGGAGGCTGAGGAATGGAATGGTGACATGCGGACCAGTGGCTCTCCCAGACCTTGATGCTGCTGAGGACCTAGTCTTGGGCTGGCCCTGGTGGGAGGGTGAGCCCTAGGACGTGCCCGGGGTGCTGGAGCGATTTACTCTGCTGGTGGCATGTGGCCCAGAAGTCGGGCAGAGTCCACGGAAACAGAGGGGATGGTGGGTCTAGGAGCCAAAAGAACGGTGATGGAAGCCTCCCTCGTGCAGAGACCGTGGTGGCCTGGGAAGGCTTCAAGGTGGGAAGGGAACAGAATTTGCAGCTCTTCTTCTTGCCCAAGCCCCCTGAAAAATCTTACAAGAAATACTCAGCTGCAGGAGGCTGGAAGAAAGCTCAGTCAAGGCAAGGATGGACACACTGCGAGTGGCGCCAGCACTGGGCCCTTCCGGCTGTGTGGACACAGCCCATTTCCCATCAGCATCCTCGGAAAGTGGGAAGTGTTCTCAGCAGTTAATCTGAGGACCCAAGGACAGTGCCTGACTGAATGGCAGGGCCTCATAGGTCCATGCGAGGATCAAGAGTTAGACTCAAGCTTCACCCGAACCTACTCTTCCCATAATACACCAAAACTGTCAACCAAGCCTTTCGCACAGTGAAGCCATCTGCTTTCCTCTAGGGACCGAACTCTATAGACAAGAGCTCTTAGGGAGTGCCACGTCTTGGTTAGGAAAGGTGTTAGTACTGCCCTTTTCTGAGTGATGAGCAGGAATAAGGAGCCGAAAGGTTGCAGTCCTGAGTCTCTCCTCGCTGCCTGCACCATCTGGCCCAGCACCGGCTTCAAACACAGCACTCTGAGCTCCGGGCAAGTCAGGAAGGAGCTAGCACCCAGGAGACGC